CTGTCTTTTGAATAAGGTATTTTCCAGTCATTTATGTCATCGCTGAGGTTTTCTCAAACGTAGCGTTAACTTTTCTTTCTCATGAACCCAAGCTGAGTGTCTCATCACACCCTTAACTGCATGCAGATCAAGGAGGGACGGGACAGGCTTCACAGTCACAAGTCTAATCTAGGCGTGCAGAACAAACCGCCCACCTGTCAGCAGGAAAATACGTGACGGATCTCTTGACACTTGTTCAAAGTGACATGCAATTTCCATAAATCAAAGATGTGTCAGATTTCAGATGACGTGGTTTTGATCAGAGATTTGAATCCTTGCTGTCAATCAGTTGTTTGTTCCAGCAAACATGTACGCAGGCGTCTAATTAACTCCTCACTTTTCCATCATGGCAAGTTTCTATTTCACATAACCTGGAGCGATAACTCAAGACACAAGGACTACTGGATGTTTCATCAGAAGAAAGCACAGACAGACCCTTATATTACTGTCAAATTCAAATGACCATGAAATAAGTTCTTGGACACCATTACATGTCTACATGACTTGTCTTTCCTATATGAGATTTAAAAAGTAATTTTAAAATAAGATCACAGTAAATTACTTCAAGTCAGTGATGTGTATTGCATATGCCAGTGATTAATTATAGTTTGGCTTTTTCCATTCCAGTAGAAATGTAATTGCGGTTTGTGCTGGCGAATCGTTTGATATGAAAGTCTCTTTTGGACAGCTGTCAGTGTGTTTCAAAGTGTCACTCTGATATTAACAGATTTTGAGGTTCAGCTGATTCAAATTCAATGTTCTTTTATCTGTGAAGCAATGATTTCCATGACAGATAAAATATCAAGATGAGTAAACTTTTCAAATGGCTGTGAGCAGAACTGATGAAATGGATAAAGCAAAAGAAACTTTCGACTGCTGTTTGTACTGCACACTTTTAATGACTTAAGATAGATCCTGTGCACATATAACATCATCAGCATCTTTCTCTGTAGGAGGACTGAAGCAGAAAGCCACCTGAAATTTAGTATGTGTTTAGAAAGATAAAGTAAAGAGCAGCTTAGTGCGGCCTAACTCCTTCATGTGGTGGGTAAGACGCAGATCTAAAAGTGACTGACCTGCCAAGTGGTGTGACACAGACCAGCAGAGCAGCACTTCTCCTGAGCCATATGCAGCAGACACAGATTGCGCTGTAACTATTGCCTTATTTAGTGATGCGGAGCCATGCTTCCTTGCAGACTGAAACGGCACTTATCCTTTAGACACTTTGCTGGGCTCAGAGTAAGATATGAAAGCAAAAGTGTAGGAAACAAACCGTCCCCTGTCATGTCATGTCTGTGTTGGCATGGATAGATGAGTATGCCTCATCAGTTCAGATTTATGAAATGTTTTTCTGCTTGAGATGCAAATTCATTCATTGTCACACGGCAACAGACAATATAAACAATAAGCAGCAGAGGCATGCAGCTGCATAGCTACTGCCTCTCACTGTAGTTCTCACTGTGGAGTCAAGCTCCACCATTATGAATAATTGAACATTTGGAGGAGATGTGCATGTGAAATTTATACTCTAGTTCAATATGTTAAAATCTGGTGACAGGCTATGGAGGAAGATCGAGTAGAGTTGAAAATTGCTAGATGGGGGATAATCTTTACTTTTAGCTAGGGCTGGGCGATAAAACAATGGTATATATCAAAAATTAATTTTCCTTTATCGATATGAAACATGGTCAATGTACTTTTCGATTGCCAGTATTCTACCGTGTTTTGGTAGATTATACGAACAGCCAGTGAAAGGGGGAGTTGCTCCGGGTCTGCGCCGCGCTGAAATGACCATCCAGATCGCTTTCTCTCGTGCAGTGCCTTACCACAAAACGTGAAAGAAACACAAAGACCTCACAGATGCAGTAGCTTATTGTATTGCAAAAGACATGCTACCAATTAGGGATGTGCGTGGTTATTCGGATATTCGTGTTAACGGGGCTGTCCTTACTATCCGGTTAGTAAATAATATTAGTTCATTCTATAAAATAAAAATAAGAAAAAAGCTTCTTTTATTATTATTTTTCTTTAAATTACGTTTTTACCGTCATGTCTTTAATAAAAGTGTGCATTAAACAAGCTAAAATGTGTGGATCATTTGCGTGCGACTCTTTCTGCCTGGCTCGCTGCTCTGGGCTCGCAGCGCTGGCCTGCAGCGTGCATGGCATCGTGGGTTAACTTCCTCAGAGTGAATCAACACATGCGATCAGTCAGAGTGATGTCGGTGAGAAAAAAGAGCAAAGTTTGGGAGTATTTTGATTTAGATAAAGATGGCACACTTCTTTTTGTGCTTATGGTGTGATGCAGGCCGATGACGCAGCAGGCTGCTTAGCTTGAGCGCAGTGGAGCTGCATGTACTCTTAATATTTATTTCAGATGATATCTGGCCATATAGATCGACATGTGCTCAATTTGGGCTATTTTCTGGGAGTTCATTAATTTTCGTGTATTCGAATATTTGGTTTCAAAATGGTCGTTTAACCGTCAGTGAAATTAACCACTGGGAACATCTCTACTACCAATAAGCACTGTTAAATTTCATTTAAGAGTAACAGGGAACTTTTAAGATCGACGAGTGATTTTTTTATATTGTGATATACTGTATAAGATCTTTTGTACCCACAGCCATCAGACTGTACAACTCGATAGTAGATGACTTTTAGAGACATGACAAATGAGACGACAGACAATTGAATTTCCCTTCGGGGATCAATAAAGTTCCTCTTGGTATTCTTACTATTCTTATCAACTGATATGAAAAAAATATATTGTGATAAACTTTTTCCAATTTCGCCCAGCCCTACTTTTAGCTATTCCAGAGTTTTGGCAAATTTTACAGGTATGATATTACATAAAAAAAGGATACAGCAAGTGGATTAAGAATTATATCCATTGTTTTGTAGGTAAGGCCCCTGGCACGTGCAAGCACCATTCTGTGAGCATTGTATTTTTAGCTTGTTAACATGTCGTAAAACTTACCAGTTACATCAGTGTCAGCTCGACTACAGAGATAGAATCATATGTTTATGTTCCATCCATGCGTGTATAAATAACACAGTAATGTAAAAATAACAATGGGGCTGTACAGGTAGAGAAAAAGAAAGCTGCTCAGTTATAAGCTTCCACATATTCAGGTGTTAAATAAATGTGTTGGAGATCAGTGTTCACATGTAGAGGTGGTATCACAACTGTAATGTAAAATTATCCCCCACTCTTGGTATTCTCTTCCTTTTTTTTAGTATCCAACCTCTGTCACAGCTTCAGCCTCTTTGATTTTCCAGAGGATGTATCAGCCTCCAGTAGCTCCACTGTGATACTGTGAAGATAACAGGGGGGAAGGTGTGTAGACAGTGTAACAGGTAATAGATGAGCTCCCACTTGCTATCATTCGGACACACTAGGGCACCATCGGCTGCTGGATGTGATTTGCGTCATACCTGTTTCGAGGGTTTGGTAGGTTTTTCCTTCATAAAACTAATCATCAGGGTAAAATTAGGAGGAAAAAAAGAGGAAAAAAATCAAAGGCTGTGCTCTGATGATTGTTGCCTGGTTACACGCTCTTTTGTCAGCAGAAGTATTTGATCATTACACTGAGGACAAGAAACCTCTCAACCCAATAAGCCATTATGACTTCCTGTTCTTTAAGTGAGATGGCTTCTTGTTACTTTTACATCTTCTCACTTAGTCATGCTCATGTGACCTTTGATCTAGTGTCTGGACGAAGAATCAAATGTACCCACTTTAATTTGATGACCAAGAGATTTTGTAAAGTTGTGTCAACACCTCTGCCATTGTTCTGAAAAATTGCCGAGGCTGTATCAGGCTTCATCAGTTATCTGATGCCCTGAGCCACAGACTGAGGAGTGAGATAAGTTCTCTTTGTTCAGTGGAGAGGTAGAACTGAAAGTGAATCCCTTGACGGATTATTGATTATGAGACCAAAGGCTAAAAACGGGAATGCTGGTGGACATTGTGCCACATTGAATACTAAAATGTCATTTTTAAAGGGATATTCCGGACATCCCCTCGAGAGATAAATGTTGTTGACCGCTTGCTTCTATAGTTATACCAACTTTAGCGACAACCACAAGATAGCAATACACAGCGGTACACAGGGCCATGAACAAACCTCAACCAAAACACCACTCTATAGCCACAAATAATGCTCAGAACAGCACCTAACTTTATCAACAGTACATATAGGGTCCCAGCCACAGCACTAGCCACAGAATATCTTTTTAATTTTGCCTGATTTCTTTAGCAAAGAGACTAAACACAACTCACCCACTCTCTTCCAGCAGCCGCTTGTTTGTACGTAGACCTCCAGGTGAGTTCGACTGCTGCGGGGTGACGCAGCTCAAGGAAGAACACTTATGATCATTTCTTTATCATTTCCTTGAAGTTATAATCACCATATTAATCATTTTGCACTGCAGACGCGGTAGTTCTTCTGCCTTAGTATCTCAGTCTGATTGCATTTCCATGAAGAAATGATCATAAATGCTCTTCCTTGAGCTGCGTCACCCCGCAGCAGTAGGGATTTGAATTGGCCTATGTACAAACAAGCGGCTGCTGGAAGAGAGAAGGTGAGTTGTGTTTAGTCCCTTTGCTAAAGAAATCAGGCAAAGCTAAAAAGATATTTTTTGGCTAGTACTATGGCTGGGACCTTATATGTACTGTTGATGAAGTTAGGTGCTGTTCTGAGCATTATTTGTGGTTATAGAGTGGCGTTTTGGTTGAGGTTTGTTCATGGCTCCTTAGACCGCTGTTTATTGGTATCTTGTGGTCGTTACTAAAGTTGGTATAACTAGAGAAGCAAGTGGTCGGCAACATTCATCTCTCGAGGGGGTGTCTAACCCTGTGTTACGGACTGTTTGACCCTAAATTAATTTTATGCAGAATATCCCTTTAACTATAACTCCACATGAACCTGCTGCTGAAGTTCTATCAGTCCAAAGTCATTTGAAGTGTTTCAGTTTGAATGATTTATTGACAAATTCTGTAAAGCAGGACATACAGCGGACAGCAACACATATTGATACTTCAGTAAAAGTTAACATCGTCTAACACTGAGTGACCGTAGTTTTCATCTCAGCCAAATTATGGGCTGGATGTCAAGAAATGAATAGAAAACTAGTAAGCTTTATGAAAAAAACACAATTAAAATTAAATTTAAGATATCATATTAATAAGGAGTTAAAGTTAGCAGACAAGAATGACAGAAATTCAATGTGATTACTGTGATTCTATAGAAATAAAAGGTAGAGGCCACAAATAGATATCAGTCATTTTGTGTTTGATGTGTAAAAGGCAATATACTGTGGTGGATCACTCTCAAGTTTTCTGCTTGAGAAGTGCATTTGTCTGCCTTTCAGCTTTCAGTCTGTATTTAGCCTTCATTTAAGATAAGTACCAATATAACAGTGGGTTTTGCATGCAGTTGCTTCAAGCTTACAGCTTTTTACATCAGCGTCTGCTAAACGTTTAAAGATCCAAGCAAAGATTGATTTGAAAGTACCCTCATTAAGTCAAACCGTTAAGAGGGGACATGCTTTAGTGGACCAAGTTTGCTTCCAAGGATTAAATCACCTGTTGTGCTTAAAAAAAGAGAAACACACATACATTAAGACAATTAAATAGTGGAGATTTTTTTTTTTTTTACATAAAATTCATTGCTTTAGACATAAAACAAAACACTGTTGCTCTGCTTTTTTCTTGCATTGGCACAAGTCACAGCTACATTTCATAAGCATGTCAACACCCATGATACTTGGAGAAAGGCCTTTGCAGTAAAGCTTCACAATGCAAACACGTCATCACTGACCTGTGCAGAGCCATGAAAACCCTTTTCCGGGGTCTAACATAAGACTTTTGACAGATGATATGAAAATCATTTATCAATTATATTATGTTCCCCAACTGAAATTACTATTAAAAGATGTTATTACTATATTTTAAGATTATACACGAGCTATTTTCAACCTGAGCAAAACCCATAAAAAAGAGAGAACAGGGCATTACCAAAAGAAAGGAGAATCGAAGCTGACGAAGACATAAGCCAAAAAGATGCAATTAAACCAGAGGCTGCGTGCTCTGAATATTTTCCGTCTTTGGCAGAATTTTTTTAATCAAATGGAAAAATCTGAAAGCCGTCCTTCATTTTGATGGACTACAAAACCAGGAAATCATGCAAAAAATCTATGAATATGCTCAAAATGCCATAGTTTGACATACAGCAAGTATTCGAGCAGTTGTGTGCAGGCAGGACAGCTTTGTAGAAGAGATTACATGAATCTGGATTACTTGCTTTCATTAGGTGTGCTCTGTATGCAGGGGTTTTTATTCATGTTTTTACCACAGACAAACTTTAATTTGAGTTGTGTTGGATCAAAACAACATCTGGCAACAGCGCAGATGTTTTGACTTTGAATCCAAGTTTTTGAAAATACTGGTACCTGTTGAAAATAAATTTTGATGCTTTGTGACTGTTTTGGGCTGTGTGTGCATGATGTAAAGGAAAGAACCTCCTGGTAGCAGGCTAACAGTAGTTTAAAAAATTACAGGCTTACTAGCACTAGCATCTGTGCTACCGTCGCTTATATAGAAAGTGAGTAGCTTCAGTTGGATTAGACAGATCATGCTAGAATTAGCACAACTTTGTCCACCAAAATAAAGGACAGCAATGAAATGTTGCACAACCTCTGACTTAAACATCATTTTTTTAAAGACCGTAAATTATATGGTCAAAACATGACGATATAAAGAGGCACACGTTGTACTGTACATTCATACAAAACAAACATGTACAGCAAAAGCAGAATACCACATATATATTTATATATATATTTAACCATTTTCATAATCATGAGTATAGATAGCAGCTTGAAATTCCACTTAAAAGGACAACATGTCATTTTTTTCACATTCTTGAGTAAATACTTTCATGAAGTCTGAACATTCAGAACTGTTAAGTATGAATATTTAAGGATAGCTATTTTCTATAGTTTCTTCCTTATATCTACTGAAGAATATTAAAGCTTTTTTTTAGTATTTCTTCAATATTTGGTGAACTGAATGTCTGTGATATCAAAATACATATGAAATAACAACAACAACAAAGAACAACTTTAAATTATCCATATAAAAAGACTGGTTTGGTGGAAAAATAATAGCCAAGACACTGATGGTGAAAAAACTTAATCTGACACCCGAGAGCACACACACACACACACACACACTTAACATCTTCACCTCCTCATTGGTAGTGTGTGCATGTGTTGCTGTATATTAAATCATAGGGGCTCTCTTCCCCTATGGCTCATTTTATCCTACTTATCGGAGTGCTTTTCCATTTATTATATTGTCAGTCCCATGTGTCACAGCTCTGCGTTCAGCTCACTGTGGCTTTCACAATGGATGTGCCCACCAGCAGAGTCGAGTTAAAATGCCACACAAGATTGCTGCAACCACAAAACGGCCCCCACTCTTTTTCTTTTTTTTTTAAACCAAGTTAAAAATGAAATGAAAAAACCCAACAGTGACCAAGTGACCCCTCACCCTCCAGCGGCCTGTTTATCGACCTGCTGTGAATGTGTGCTGGATTTTGCCTCTGGCTTGTTGCCACTTACCAGGATAGATGTTACTCTCCCCAGTTACATAACAGAAAGCCAAACTCGGTGACAAAATTCGAGTTCGATCAACAGCTTTCCACTGGTGATTCTCTGCAGACGAACATATAACATGTGCAGGGAGAAAAATAAGCAGAGTGCACTCTCATCTTTTACATTACGTTCACAGCTCAGTCTTAAAGTATGTGACATACTTACATAACTATTCTTACCATGGCGTATTACTGGATCATCTGTGAGACGGTCCTTTTAGAGATCTGATTAGTCTCACTAATACTGTCTTGCAAATGTACTGAAATACTAATTTTATTCAGAACATACCGTTTTCCTGACGAAGAATGAATTGCTATTTATCGATGCACACGAACCCTGAATTAAAAAGTGGAAAACTGGAACATACCATTTAAAGGGAGACTGCTTTGAACCAAGTCTGGCATCGCCCAGTCTCGAGAGGGCTGCTCTGAGCTTGTACAAATGATGAGGCAGTGGGTTTTAAGGGACAGACATTTAATACATCACCGATCAAGGGCACCAGCGGTATATTTTGCATGTTTAAACTCTGACACTAACTCAATCTGTTTGCTTGGGAACTTTCTGAACTGTGGAAGTTTGTTTATGCCAGCGATTTGAAATGGATTTGTAAAGGTTCAACAAAACAACCAGGTAAAGCAGAGCCCCATTTCACCAAATTTGCAACTTCCAAGCTGTAGTTTGCAGTCACACAATAATTTCCTGTCCTGTTGATAGAAGTATTTTTGTTTGTTTACACTCAAACAAACATCATAGTGCTGCCAAAGCGTGAGGATAGTGGAACAGTGGATGATTCATAAATCAGTCCAGAATTTGGAGTCAACAATCCTCCTGATGCTGCTGCCTTTACTGACCTGCATGTCCACGCTGCTTGCAAAACATTTGGATGCCCAGATGCCAAAATTCTCTCAGTTAAAATACATATTCATCATCCTCTGTTCTTGACTGATATCTACTCGAAGCACTTGCTCAGAAATGACTCTTGGGTCTGGGACCTCTGCCCACTAATCCTGCTCAGTATTCGGTCCGTGGTACATGACCATATGTTGTCATTCTCTGCAAATCAAAGCAACCGTTCCCACTTTTATACAATTCTTCTAAGTCTAAATAAGGAAACATGACATGCACTGTTTGTATGTACAGAGGAATTATGCATGTGGGGACATTTCCTACATGCATGAGTGAAAGTCCGTGGGATTGACCTTTAAAGAGAAGTCTTCTGTTTGAATACTCAGAGCCTCTCCGTTTTGCATTTTTGTGCTGCCTTCATTACATCCACTGATCTCGGAGTGGCGAGATGTGATGTAGCTTCTCTTCCTGGACGATGTTGAGTGCTTCCTCCCAGAACCGCCACCAGCACCACCACCGCCTTCGGCCGGATCATAAACCACAACCACAGTGGTATCCATCCGTGACAGCGTGTACATGCTGCTCTGGCGTGTTGGATGCATCCGTGTGGTTCGTAGTTCCAACTCATCGTAGCTGGACACCTTGATGAATGGGCACCAACGGAAAGCACGCTTGAAGCCAGCGCGAAACCTTTGGTCACATTGAGAGGGGAGATGGAAGGAGGGAAAACTCAGGTCAGAGGGGGGGAAATTAGTTTAGGAACTTTAATAACCTTACATTTTCTGTGAAATGGTGCACACTGTTCCAAAAAGCACAAACATCTTAATCAATTGTACTTTTCCAGTGACTGAAAAGAATTTCCTGAGAGCTTCACCAGACAGATACCTGTGTGTGTAGCACAATACGGCAGTACCCGGCCGACTTTCCAACAGTACCATCTGGCTTCATTGTTTTAACAAGGAGAGACAAAGCTTTGTCTTGACATTTGGACGACAAGAAGTTAGATTGTTCCCTGAGTCATTTGGGCAAGGTGTATTTGGGCAAAATATAAATCAAACCAATCAGTGCGCCATTTAGAGCCAGGTGCCTGCACCTGTAGGGGGGCATGTTGCTACTTCCAGTGAAGATTCTGGCCTTTCTGCTTTGAAACACCAGGCTCAGCTGGAGCACATAAGTGCTGTCTTTCCTCTGTGCTATCAAACACAAAAAACACACAAAGGTCACTGCATGAGCTCTCTCAATGCATGAAATTAATGTATGTCCTGAAACAATCCCTTGGATTTACAGCATTAGTTATTTAAAACTCAAGACAGCTCAACAGTGTTGGGCAGGATCTAATTATAACTGACATCCTGTGTGCTGTTGGTCTTAATTTATTTATGTTGCTGTCTCACATGGCTGTAATCTGTGCATAATGGATACTGCTCATTGTTTCTGTGGAAACGTCAATGATAGTTTTATATAACTATCATGTCCAATGGCATGTATGTGTCTTTCTGTTTCTACAGTATTGGAGAAAATATGTGCATGATGGAGAGCCTGGTGGAGCTCTTTGTCTACGGTTTTTGTCTCCTGCAGGGATGTGGTGAAGCAAGCATGTAATATGCATAGTGGTGAAGGTTTCTTTATTTTGAGAGGCCCTGTGCCAAGAGCAGTATCATCCCACTAATGCACCCTCTGACATTCAGGAAAATACTGTTTTACTGAGTTTTTTTTTTTTTTTTTTTTGGTCTGTGCTGCAGCAGCCTCTATGTCTCCAAAATATCAATGTGCCACCTTTTTCCTGACCACACCTCAGTTTAAGACCAACAGGCCCACAGGCAACAACATGGCAAGTTCATTTGCTATTTACACAACGTAGGCATTAGAAATGAGTCCTGGGTGTAAGGTTAGCTGCGTTTACATGGGCACAAATAATCTGAATAAAAGCCCGATCGGAATAAAAATGCGTCATGTAAACATGTCGATCAGAAGATTCTGATCCAATTCAGCTCAATTGAAAAGAAGTTGTATCCCAGGGTGGTTTATGCCAATCATTTTTCTGAAACATGTCCATGTAAACACTTTTTCGGATTGTGACTCTCCTACCTGAGTCAGTCTTCACTCTTTAGACCTTTGGCTTATTTATTGAGGCCAGTGCAGGAGGTTTCATTATTAACAATCTGTCATAAAACACAACTGCAGATGCCGTGTCTGCTCCTCCAGTAACATCACAAGGCGTACATACAATGTAATGATGTCACATCTGCACGCACAGTGCAGCCTTTGTTAGAACAGTAAAATAAGTAAGCAAGGACACCATCTTGTGACAACATTTAACAGAGGGAAAACTCCTGAACTGGGTAGAGTGAGCCACTACTACATTTGTTGGTTTGTTGACAGCACAGGCAGAAATACAACTCTTCTTCTTCTGCGGTTGTTTTAGAGAAATCAGACAACTCTGCGCATGTCCAAATGCTTCTAATCTGAATAAAACTTGGTGCATGTATTTGCACGTCATGATCGGATTATTTGATTTTGCACCCATAGAAACAGTGGATTGAAATTATCTGATCCCCCAAATTTTTAATCAGATCAAGAAAATTTGCACATGTAAACATGGCTAGTGAGTGGAAATTACAGTGACACTTATGCTACATTAATGATACTTTGCACTGGGTGTTTGAGAGCCCTGACTTTGCTCTAAAAAAGGACAGATTTCTCTTTGTGATATTAACTAAAAGCTTTAAAACAACCCCTTTAAATTCCATATCTTATTACAAAGGAATCTGTTTCTTGGCCAGGACCCCTCTGAAAACATGACTTTTGTATTTGTAATTTTTTTCTGATAAGATAATAAAAAAAAGGTAATAAAAAGTTAAACTTTTACAGCTGTATAGGGCAGTGAAATTAGCATGCGAAAACAAGCACTAAGCCTAACTAACTCATCTGCCTTTATCTGAAATATATATATATATATATATAAAACTGAACTTTTAAGCCATTAATCTTGCTTGTCTTGAAATCTCACGGATAATTTTTTACCAGCTTTGATCTTATTTAATCTCAGTTAACATGAGGGGATAATTATAAAAGCTCCTTACAGATATTCTCCCAGTAAGTAATTAACGAAATCATTCATCTTTAATCTGTTGCTCTGATAACGGTGAGGCTCAGTGGGTCGAATCTCATAATAGCATTTACTCAATTTTCGCTGCCTCATTATGCACGAATGCAAAAGTAAAGACGCTTGATTCCAAAAATTAGTTGTTTAGACGATAAACACCATCTTCATATCACCTACCTGCTGTTGAGGCAGCAGTAGATGATTGGGTTGTACATGGTGGAGCTCATTGCCAGCCACAGCACTGACAGGTAGACCTGCTGGATGTATTTCCACTTGTTCAGTTTCTTGTTGAGACCCGTCACAATGAAGTACACATGATAAGGCAGCCAGCAGAGGGCAAAGGTCACCACCACGATGATCATCATCTTCACCACCTGCAGCAGAGTGAATCAATCATGATGACACACATTTGTGAGCTGTCACTGTCAGCTGTGTTCATGAGTCAGTCAAAGACCGCAGCGTTAAACCTTTGGGAGGGGGAAAACAAAAAGAAAGATAATCACTGTCAAGTCAGCGTCGCTCACTGTGAAAATAATGAATATTTAGAGGGAGGAATATGATGCATATAATTTAGTCCGTTTTCTGGATTATAGCATTTTGCAAACACCTGCTTCTGCAGGCAACAGACAGGTGATACACCGCAACACAAAAGTGTCTCTCAGGATCTGTCTTGTGTATCTCATCTTTTGACATGTACAGCTCTTCTAAATTCATGTCAGGGCTTTTGAATTCAGGAAAGCTTTGAGGCAGGTATCGCTTCAACAATAGATGCCTACAGACATATCACATGTATTGTATGAGGATAAACATTTGTGTTTCATCCTCTCTTTCAGGGGCAACCCAGAATAAACACGAGAGAAAAAGTGCAAATTCAAGGGAGGAGACACAATATTAGAGCACAGTACAGGCGGGAAAGTTAGACTCTGCATAAAATAGCCTATCACTCTTTATATGCAATCTGTTTGAATATAGAAGTATGGATCATATGTTATGCATATTACAAGTACAAAAGCATGTTATTTTCCATTATATTTAAAGATATGCATACTATAGAGTGGCACTTATCAGAACATTTCACAAGGTCAACGCAACTACAGAGGACTTAAGTTAATTTTAAAATAGCTGTATATGCATTTATCTTGTAGCAACAGCACCTATGTTTTAATGTAATGCCTTCTGGTGCAATAAAAGATAATCTAAATAGGAAATCCCTGCTGAGTCCACTTTGTTTGATATTCAGAAGAGCAAGACTATATTCCTGAGCAGCAGGGGTGAAAGTAGGGTTATCATTTTTACGCCTGAACTCCTCATACTGAGCTGCTTTCCATTTATAGTCATCTGCAGGCTTCTGTTGCACAATTTATTCAAGTATGCCATAAATTAGAATTTATTTTAATTTATTGAGATACACCTGTGTACACAGTTGTTCTGATACAGTAACATTATCAACCATTTGTCAGTAGCTTACCCACTCCTGATAGCTTTGCTGCTCCCCCCCTCTGCTCCTTAACTTGCTCTGATGCCACAGTATCATCATCTGCTGCATCTTTCTTTCTCTTGAACATCAAATCAATTTTTCTCTCCATTTTGTTTTATCTCCCCATTAAGATTGAAGCAGCTGTCTCTTTAAAAGTTCTCTCCTTCCGCAAAAGGTGGGAGGCGGTCCCCTGCGCCTAGGCAACCAGCATCCAATCAAAAGTGCCCACTGAGCGCGAACAGAGTTTGTTTGTTTGTTTGTGGAAGCGAATACAACTCACTTGCAAGCAGCATAATCCTATTGGATTATAACGGTTACAATGCAGACTGCACACTGACAGTGGCGACACGGTAGACTACATACATTGCAGGGGTGAAAGTTTGCATATCGCTGCGTACCAGCTGTAAACTGCTGTTTATGTCTTCCCGGTATGGCGTTCTGATGTGTGCCGGCTTACTTTCACCCCTGCTGGGCATACAGATAAACAGTGTTGCTGTAGTTAAACCCGCGTGCACACTCACACTGACCAAAAGTAACTTTAAATGTTATGTGGAGATGCTTGCTTTGGAGTTCTGAGTCATCCAAAAGTTTTATCCTATTAGCTTTCTGAAGGGAGATAACATCATCATGTTGCAGCTTGGATCTGTATTGTACCTGACAACATTGTACACAAGTTTATTACAGTGACAGCAAACTGTGTGAAGTTGAAATGATTCCAACACCTGGTTGAAGGCTGAGTTTAATGGTCTCATCCATCATTATGATTTATTCTGAAGAGTCTTCCCCGGACTTAAAAAAAACCTCCCAAAACTACAATCTTTCTTTCTTCTTGAAGTGAACTGACTGAACCCCTGAGGATTTCCTCGGGGAGATGACACTGTCCATAATACTGCGTGCTGCCCCAGAGGGCCAGAGAGACATGCAACCTGAGACAAAACAGATGTCATGGAGACCTTCCTGAAATCCAAACAGAGGTCCTGGTAGCCCTTGTGTTGAGTTCTTGTTTCTGGCAAGTTTATGGTAAACCACGAGCTGTGCTGTAAACTAAGCTAGGTGGCTGCGAAACAATCTTGCAGCAATCATTTTCTTTGATGCCAGTGTGGGAGTAAATTGGGGACCTTTAATCTCGCCAGAAGATACACATCAGGCTAGAAAGGATGTGACAGGACTAATTAAAGATGTAAATACAAAGGCAGTTTTCCTGGTACTGTGTAAATGTTTCTTCAGAGTCTGACATGCTCTGTTGCCAAAGACTCTTCAACTAAATATTTCAGCAGTAAGGGAGGACTAGAGGGAAAGGTAGGGAGTGCGGTGTCATGTTTGTTCTGAAATATACACACTCCATCAGTCAAATCTGTCCACAGCTATGTAGAAGTACTCCTGGAACTCAGCCACTGTGTTTAAGGCTCAGGTTTAAAGGGATATTCCGGTAAAATTAAGTTAGGGAGAAACAAGCCGTAACACGGAGTTAGACACCCCCTCGAGAGATGAATGTTGCCGACTGCTTGATACCAACTTTAGTAACAACCGCATGATAGCAACACAGAGAAACATGCGCTCAACCAAAACGCCACTCTATAGCCACAATTAATGCTCAGAACAGCACCTACCTTCATCAACAGTACATATAGGGTCCCAGCCATAGTACTAGCCACCAAACATCTTTTTAACTTTGCCTGATTTCTTTAGCAAAGAGACTAAACACAACTCAGCCACTCTCTTCCAGCAGCTGCTTGTTTGTATGGAGACCTCCAGGCAAGTCCATCGACTGCATTACTTTATCATTTCCTTGAAGTAATAATCATCATATTAATCATTTTGCACTGCAGACGCTGTAGTTTTTCTGCCTTAGCGTCTCAGTCTGATTGCATTTCCATGAAGGAATGTTCATAAATGTTCTTCCTTGAGCTGCGTCACCCCGCTGCAGTCAATGGACTCACCTGGAGGTCTCTATACAAACAAGCGGCTGCTGGAAAAGAGTAGGTGAGTTGTGTTTAGTCTCTTTGCTAAAGAAATCAGGCAAAGTTAAAAAGATTTTTTGTGGTTAGTACTATGGGTAGGACCCTTTATGTACTGTTGATGAAGTTAGGTGCTGTTCTGAGCATTATTTGTGGCTATAGAGTGGCGTTTTGGTTGAGCACGTGGCTCCTCAGACCGCTGTGTATTGCTATTGTGCGGTAGTTACTAGAGTTGTTGTAACTAGAGAAGCAAATGGTCGGCAACATTCATCTCTCGAGGGGGGTGTCTAACTCGGTGTTACAGTATGTTTGACCCTAACTTAACTTTATGCCGGAATATCCCTTTAAAGATGGAAGAGCATGTATAACCACAATAGCATTATTTGCAAAGACTTGATGCAAGAGTTGATTTTAGTGGAATCACTTTATGTTGCAGACAGAACAAAGTATTTGACACTGAGCAGCAATATTTGCATATTTTTCAAAAGCCTTTGCTGTCCCAATACTATAAAGGATATCTACTTTCTTAGTGGCTGGATACATTAATAAACTTCACGTGTAGAAACACGTGCTCATGGGTCTTGATAGCATGGTTCATATTTGGACTGACTTGACACAATCCATACAGCTTGTATTATATAAACACAGAAGACACATAAGGCTGACTGTAAACATTAAGAGTATGTGCCTCCCTTAAAACAGTCTGTACCAGACACCTGTAATGTATTGACTCTGCTTAGAGGACGACACACACTAACGGAGGCGAAATATCAGAGAGCTTCCAACAGTGAGCATACGCTGTTTTTGAAAATGTCACCCTTCTCTGAAGACGTGAACACCCTTTTCAAATAGTAATATGTTCAGTAAATCTCTGCCATTTCAAACTTTGAACAAATGTGACCATAAACAGCAAGAAAAAAAATAGGCAGCATAAAGCTGTATGGGAACAGTGTGGGTAAGTATGTACATGCTAGAACTAGACATTTGATTTACACAAGGCAGCAGTGCAATAGTGCAATGATGATGAGTGCAGTGGAGTGAAGAGTGGTTGAAAAAAAATACATGTCATTATATTCAATGGGTTATGTACATGAGCTAAACATGCATTATGTTTTAGAGCATTACAGCGTAGGGAAAAAAGAAAAACAAGTTCATTAAAAAGAGGCCGGGGTTCACATTCAGGGTAATATACCGCATGCAGGGGCCATGATTTAGTGCATGATGGACAGGATAACACAGCTATGTAAATAATATTAAAAGAGTATCCTGTAAAGCTCAGAGGGTTTAGGTGAAGTCAGGCAGAAACATTAGTGGACTCTTTATGGCAGTGAGCAGCTCCCACACACACACACACGCACAGAAAACAGCGGGATACAGAATGGCTCTGACTGCTTGCTGTCCTTTTCCCATTATAGGGGATAATGAGAATGTCAGAGCATGTAATTTAAAACTGCTCTTATTTTCATATTGTATAATATAATTAAATCAGCGGCAAGGGTGCATGTTTCACTTCTCAGCTGAGAAGAGGATGTTTTGACATCCAAACAAATGTAATTGGTGCAATAATACTCATCAATTTCAAATGAAAATGCTGTATTTTCCATGTCAATTGTTCTGTATGGCCTTTGCTATCTGAAAGCAGTATTTGACGAAATTTAGATTGACAGTCACGTCAGACTGTGCTGCATAATGAGAGTGGTGCAAAGTAGCAAATGAGAAATAGAAAGCCAAACCAAGTCAAGCATTATGTAAGAGTGTAACCACTGTCAGCCATTATCAGATTTAGAGCTGTAAACATACAAGAGGCAGATAGGACATTTCCAAAACGGTGTTGTTTAAGAACTCCAATTGATGTTTTAAACATATTTCCGAAAACTTCAAATTGAGACTTTTTAAAAAAGCCTGAAATTGATCACAAAGATAAAATACAGTGTTTAATCAGTAGAGCTGTAGCAAAGTGAACAGAAAAGACATCTTGGAACCTGTTTTCTACACATTACCAACAGACTTCCTCTCTAATGCATGGATGACAGTCTTACTATAAACCTGATAAATGGATTTAGGTCTAATTTTGTTAGCTGGGATAACCATTAACCTGTTTTTCTTGCTCAGTACAGTGCATTTCAGGTTGAGCTCAGTTTGTTGCAACTCTCTAGACTTTTCAGATCATTTGGTTCTGGCCTTTCTCAAATATCAAGGGTCGGCGCCAAAAATGTATTTTCTGCTCTTGTGAGCTGGAACCCCCCCGACAGGATCTGAAAAGTACTGCTTCATTTCTTTTTACTTTAACATAGAAGCCTCATGCTGGATAAGACATTCAACTGTTGACCTTAATTCATTATTGGTTGTCATGATTATTGACTTTTAACTAATAACGTTTTTATTCCTCACACTTGGATTTGCTGCTTTACCGGTCCAAAACAACACTGTTTGATTCAGAAAGCATTCACATTGGACTAAATGCTCTACAAGCTGCTCTGCCAAAGAAATACTGTCTGTGTGTGCTGGTGCTGCCGTTACATAAATGAGCCATTATGCATTCATTCAATATGCCCCTTTCCATGCAAATTAGCCTTAATGGAAATAACGCGATTTGCTGATCAAGACCACAAAACGTCCTCCAGGTGACCTAGAAATAACATATCTCTACGTAAAGCTGGTAATATTATTTAGATTCAACAAATTTTCTCAAAATCAACAGGAGCTGAATCAGTCTTGGTCTGTCTGTGGTTTAGTCCTGTGCACACAAGCTGTGCGCTTTTACCTATTTAAATCTGAACAAGCTTCTTTTTGCAAAATGACACCGGAGGAAAAGGAGAGAAATCTGGGCACAAACAATGAACGCTGTAATATTGCCATAATTGGGCTCCATAATAAACTGATAAGAAGTTTTCTCTCCATTTAGCTCATCATAAGGTTAGAATTCAGCTCTGCCAGGATGTGCACAGCACAGCTTTGGGCAGTAGAGCATGGAGATTGCAGCTCATTTCAGTAACAAGCAAATGCAAAACCATAGCAGACTCCACAAACCTGCAGAACTTTGTGGGCAATTTGGTGCCTGAATATCATTGGTGCCGTATGCCATGTGAAACACACCTCGAACCTGAGCAGATTGTGAAGACAAATGTTATCCAATTCACTGTGATATCAGCAGCCTCAAAGCATTTTTCAGATCTGTGTACAAAAAGGAAGAAGCCAAAAAAAGCAGAACTGAATAGTTGGGATCTCTGGTCTCTCAAGCAGCACTGCATTAGAAACGGACATGACTCAGTGACTGCAGAGAGTGCACCAAGCCTGATATCTACACACAGTTCAAAATCTGACATCTTTGATATGGCCTGGAGATGCATGGGTGCCCATGGTATGAACAGTTTACCCTCCTGGGAAGACTCTTACGTTGCTTCAACAACATTCAGGTTTTGAAGTAACATATGCTGTCGAGTAGACAATGTCTTTTCTAGGGAAAACCAAAATCACAGTCTGCATGTATAACAACAGCAGCTGTAGAGCAAAAGTGGAAGTTCTGACTGGCCTGCAGTCTGGACTTGTCAGACTTGGCTCTCCATGTGAGAAAAAAGACAAAAGACCCCCCAAACTGTTGAACAGCTGGAATCCCACATCAGGCAATAAAGAGACATTTCTCTTTCCAAACCCCAGGTCTCATTTGTTCCCAAACATTTACTGAGTTTAGTTTCAACTTTTTTTTTTTTGATATAGCTTTTTTGAAACGTGCTAGCAAGAAAAAAACCTCCTTATAAAAGAAACCTCAAAATCAGAGTACAGCCATCTGCTGTGAATGGATGTTTGAGTACAATTACAAAATAGATTTTTATAACAGTAACTTGTTATCTCTTAAAATAATCAAAGAAATAAAAGAGTTAAGAGAAGAAATACTGTCAGTCAGTACGTTTACATGACACTCGAGAAAACCGAATTATTGCCTCACTCCGATTAAGACCGGACAACTGAAGTGCATGTAAACACCGAAAAACTCAGATTTAGACACCCAGATAATGTGATTGGAAATTGATTTTCTTTACCATGTAACCGGCGTAGTCGAGTATGTGTCGAGCATGATCGAACAGTGCATGTGCGCCACGCCCCTGTAACCCCAGAACAAAAACACCAGAGAAGAGGAGTAGCGTGCGTCTCATCTGCAGAAAAAGTAGCGCGCACATCATGTACGACAAAAACAACTCTGTACAACGTTCCATCTTCTCGCTCGAAAATGCCCGGCAGCAGTTGTCGCCACTTCTGGTGTCTGGCACAGACCTGCTGTTGTTGTTGACAGTTGTATTGAGTCGGAAACAGCGCTGCTGACCCATATCGCCCCCTAGTTTGGGGGAGGAGGACACATTCACATCAATAATTTAATTTTCTTAGCTGCATGTAAACGCAGACAAGGAGAGGGGTCCGATTTGGTGAAAAAAATAAACAAATTATGAGCTTAGTCTGATTAAGCTGAGCATGTACACACACTGACTGAGATTCATCTCAATTACTCTGTAGTACCTCATCTGAAAAATTGTACACTGAGGCTCTTTGTTTCTGCTGGGTCAGAGTCAGACTGGTGTTGCTCTCAAAGTAGGATGAGACACATACACAAATTTTTAATCCGGTCCTGTTGTTGAAGTCATTCTCCAGAGGGCAAAGAAGAAAAGAAAGGTAGAGCAGCAGAACTACAGTTTCACATCACGTACAGTACATCTACACTAACAATCCCCTGTCTCTGAAAAGGTATGCAAGCGCTGGACTGGAATTGCAACAGAGCCAAAGTGAGTTGAAGAAAAAGGGTCTTTTTAGTTTCCTCTCTTGTCCTTTATTTCCTGAGAGCTGATGAGAAATGAGGGGTGAGGATATGAAACATTTATCTTGGCTGGGGTTTCTCTGTCTTTCGCTGGAGGTCAGGCCTCCATTGATTGCAAAACAAGAATCAGATTATATCCAGATTGAATTTCAGCAGAAGATTAAGGACCAAAATGAATTGAAAGAAATATTTAAGATTTTCTTTTCGATAATACTGTTTGCTTCTTGTCTTCTGTACATAGATGTAATCTCCTGTCGTCTTCTGAGCAAGAGAAAAAGAAAACATGAGTCACAAAGAATATTTCATATATTTCTAAAAATATAGATCTCTGAAAATAAACTGCTGCTGTATCGACTATAATTCTGACCAAACTCTGCATTTTCAAAACAACCAGTTGAGGAACCAAACCTACATTTTAATCCAACAAAAATATCTATCATAGTGAGGTACATCTCCTTCAAAGTGTGCATGTGGTTTTACATTTTTGCATCACTTCATGCAAATTACCAAACCATTATTCTTTGTAAGAAAATGCATCAAAAATGTCCTGAGACAGAAGAGAGGAGACAGGAGTGAAGATCAAATGTAGAAAAATTTACATACAGTGGACACAACCTCAAAGGGAGGAAGTCTTATCTTTTTTTTTACCTCTTTGATGTTCATGATTGCCGCATTACTAAGAACAGTGGAGTAAATTGGGTTGCGATGCCCGTGAAGAACAGTCTTGGTCACATTTATGTGTCCCTGAATTTTGAAGGCTGATGGATTAAAGGTTTGAGTCTGCTTATGGCGATTTTTCTACGCTGGCACGACCCAAACATCCATTTCAGTGCATTCCTCCTGGACATTTACAGATGCCAGGTCATAAAAATCATTTAGAATCTTTTCTAATGATTGTGAGTCTTCTTTAAAATGGCTTTTAAGGTTAAGTATTGATTTATTTTTTCAAGATGATGGTGAAGTGACATTGTGGGGCACAACAGTGATTTAAAGGTTTCAAATCTTTTCAGCTTAAAGGCATGGTTGATGTTTGGAGAAGCAGTTGAAAAAAACAGAGCCCTTGAGGCAGATTTGAATAAAGCGGGAGTCGAGCTTTGACGAGAACTGCGTCTGTCTCTGATGCCGGCACAACACTGGCAGCGACCTACACCTGCAGAGGCACCAACACCTTATGGCATATAGATTCATACGATAAACTAAAGCCACATGCTATTGCTATAAACGGCTGCATCAGGGGAATTTAGCCTCTGCACAGCCATTTCCAGCCATTTCCCCCTCCTCAAAAACAGCGATTCCCTACAAGTCCGCCTGGTTCTTTCTGCGGAAAAGATGCATTTCTTGCGTATGTCCTGATAGTTATGATAATGTGATGCTGAAACGCCAAAGGATTCATCTCCTTGTTTGTGAAACCTAGCTACTGAAGTTCAATTCATCTAAATGCTCCACAGCGCTCATTTAAACAACTAACAACAGGTTAAAATAGTAATGGGCTACGACTTTATTCTCGCTAGGTCTAAATGTTTTTCTTTTCTTAATGTGGCCCTAAAACTCCGTCGTACTGATCTCCAGTGGTTTTGTACAGTAGCTCGGTGTTGACATGGCAACAAGCAGTTTAAAAGAAAACACACTGCTGTAACCCATGCTGAATTACAGTATTTTGACATCGACTTAAGACAAGTTACCTTAGCTTAGCATTATGACAGTGAGCTTTAGTTGATTATGCAGCAGCTCATCTTTAATACAGGAAAACTGATGATGTAATTTATGCACGAGCGCAGAGAGGGACGCCTCGCATGGAGAAAATCTAAAATAATAGGAAGAAAAGAAAATATATTCAGCGGGGCCATTTTGATTAAAGTCTTCATTCTATTTCAGAAAGAACAGCGCTGAATAATTCAAACACATTTGTAACCAAGTAAAACGCCTTGATTCTCCTCATACAGCATTTTAAAGCTACGTGTCGTGGTGCCACTTGTTTAGCATAGAGAAAGTGGATTTTCCTGCAGGTTTTTTTCAGCCAAACATGACAAGGTTATTTTTCTCGCTATGACATGATTCCTCGCAGCAATCATTTGCATTCATGCCAGGGGCCGACAGTAAAAAATCTTGCTCATAATAATTGCTGAAAAAAAAAATAAAAATCCAGCAGTTGATCTGAAGTCTGCTCGCTTTGTGTGATTCACTTGGTCTGTGTGCAATTTTCACAGAAATCCTCTTACAAGATAACAGTGAGGCAGCAGGTGAATGGATGTGAGATGTTTTTCGTTAGATATCTCTGGAAAAGGGGAGCATAATTTTATCTCTGTCTTCTAATTGGATAGTATAGCAAATGTCTACAGGTGGTTTTTTTATATATGTCTGAAGATACCAACGTCAACCAGGACAGAGGAGTGCAAGCAATTGACAGAGCCCTGTGGGGACTCTTGTTAGAGACCTTCCATCAGAATTTCAAGTGCTCCTGTTCACTCCCGCTTCTAACAAAGGCAATCTCCACCGAACTAGCCTATAGAAACATTGCTGTGTAATCGAAAGGCTATTTCATATCAATTGTAAAACATGGGAAGAGGTGGAAGAAAGAGAGGAGAGATGTGAAATGTGTTCTGGATTGGAGGGATTTTCTCAATGCCTCGCTGGTCGGAAGCGAATAGGGGGAGAAATGTGTACGGAGCAGAAAAAAACCTCGCTGTCGCATGTGGAGGTTTGCCCGTAAGCAAGATGTCACGGCTGAAGAGCACACCTTGGGAATGTTTAGACACAGGAGTATGCAGAGGAAAACAGTGAAGACACTCGATATGAGCTTGAGTGGTTAATATATTTACATATAGATGATTCTAGATAATGAACTGATGTTTCAAAATATAATCATTAACTTCATTATACTTGTTGACCTTTCAGAGTTCACTAAGATGGTTAGTTTTAAATGTCTATAATTTTTTGACAGGCTGGAGGTTTGACATACCTTTGCTTAGATTTAGGCATCAAAACTTTTCTTGTAACGGTTAGGAAAAGATCGTAGTTTAAAAAAACGTTCAATAATTACCCAAGCAGGAGGTGCCGAAGCCATGTTTTACTTCTCTACTTAAAGTAAAATTAAATCAGATTGTGTATTCATAAAGCTCATTAAAAAACAAAACACGTTGATCCAAGTGATATAAAACCAAATGTGAAGCTTAATTTTATGCCCTTTTTAATGACCTAATTTCCAACTTGACAGCGATTTTGTATTCTGCTCTGAGAGCTGCTTAAACTGTGCCTAACTGGCTTTCAAGCAATATTTAAGGTCAATACCATACCCGGGGGATACGCTGTTTGAGCCAGCGTCATCACAGCAACTCTCCCGCTGAATGCGTACAATGCTACTGCGCAAGTGGTGAAGTGCATATAACGCTACAGCGCAATGTTGGTTTAAGGAAATGGAGAAAAATCGTGGAAATACCGAGAGCTTTTCGGCTTCAAATCTGTATACTGGCAGAAGGCGGAACCAAGTTGTCCATAGTATATACAGTCTATGGTTTATACGCTGCTTTCGAGTTATGTTTTATGTTACGTTGGGTTTTTGTGCGCCTTTTAAAACTCTTAATATGTTTTTCTTGAGAATATGTCAATGTTGATGACCCCAAAATAACAGACAACTATTTAAGAGAGCCAGCTGTGGTCTAATATGATAAGTAGTCAAGGAACTAATGAAGTGAAACTTTTTCAGTCTAGGTTCATAAATGGTAAAATAACAAAAAGAGAGAAAAGCAAATGGACTGTGTATGTATAGTGCCTCCCCTAGTTTTTCGACCACTCAAAGTGCTTTTTACATTCACCCATTCAAACCACATCCATACACTGATGCCAGAGGCTGCTAAGCAAACCCATCAGTATTGACTAATCCCATTCACACACACAGCTGGGCACAGCCAGCAGGGGCAGTTTGGGGTTAAGTGTCTCGCCCAAAGACACTTTTAGGTATGTAGACAGCAGGACTCGTGATCAAACCCCTGACCTCCCGACTGAGAGATGACTGACTCCACCACTGAGCCACGGCTGCCCCATTGAGCCAAAACTGTCTGACATGGTGAAAAAAAAAAAAAAAAAACATCTGCTTTTGCAAAGAAACTTTGCACTGTTTCAGTAGACAGTTGTGGTTCATACTCTCTCTATATTGATTATTTATTTGATGCATTTTCACAGAGCCTTAGGCAAGTATTAGACTAGAAAACGTCTTTATTGTAGCTGCTGGGGTCTTAAATGGGAAAGTGGTGACAGTGTGTGTCAAGTTCATATATGAACAGCCCATCCAGCACAGTGTTTTACTGATAAATGTAAATGAGCTGTGGGAAACAAATGGGAAAAGAAGAGCAAAACATATTAGTCTGACGCAGATTTGCTTTTGGAAAAAAAAAATAATTATGACACTTTGATGCTAATGAGCTTTTTAATAGACAAAATGAATATTGAGCTAGATTCGTACCCACCAAAACAGTCTTGGGGCTCGAGCACCAGATTTATTTTTCTTCATTAATCCAGTGAATCACTCCTCATCAGTTTGCTTGAAGCCACAGTGAGTCTCACAAACCATTTTCAAATGTGACACAAAGCAGACAACCCACAGGAAGTTGTGTAGCTGAATACCACTGAGTGATTAAAATGAGACAAAGCGATTTGATCATTTTGAACTCTGACGCTGGAGTTAAAGTTTTACATATATCAAACAATGGAAATTTAAGTTTGAAAAAAAGTAAATAGTAAGATCACCCAGCTTTGTTGAAATAGTTTTATGAATTTATTAGCAAAAGTTGTTGAGAGCTTTGTTGTTGGAAGACCGCTCTCATATGCAGTATGACTGCAAGTCGGCTACTATTATGTAGTATGCTTGGCCCAGTTCAGCTGGTTTCCGGTATAGAAAAGTCCATCGTTACCCTGGTAAATTGCAACCTCACCACAGTGTTGCCCATTCATTTACGCACTCAAAAAAATATGTTTTGTGTTCTGATTTGATTTTTTCTGGATTTATTTAGCCCGATGCCAGCCATCAAAACATGTTCTGTCTATGCCATTACTCGTCGATCTGGTGGCATTTGATTCTCATCACGGCACTGAAAACACAACAAAGTTATGTCAGTTATGTTGTCCTCGTTTCCTGCTTAAATGAAAGAAGTTGCATCTTCGCTAAACGTGTTAACTGATGGCGTCTTCGTGGTTTGGTCTTATTTCCCTATGTCCCGATAGTTTCACACGTACCGTACTGTATAAAGGATGAGGAGAAGTAGTACTGCTAGTATAGTAGGCGAATTCAAAAATGGCCAGGGTCTTATCACATGAGCTCATGGACTAGAAAACAGTTGTTGTCCAGTGCATTATCTACTGTACGTACTTATTTTATCGTAATTCATACACAATGCATGCAGGCTTCATCGCATCATATCCTGCAGTAAAGCTCTTTTTCATCTAGCATGCAATACATTGTATCTCACACTGGAAAAACACTTTGTACCTCACCATATAACTAAGATTTTATAAATTTCTTCCTGTACTTTCCTGCTGCACGTAATAGCTCCTAATGGCAGAATTAATTCCATCAGCATTAGGACTCGTAAAGAGGTACAAGTAGACCCATAAAAGGAGCAATTAAAATTATTCATTTAAGTAGTTCACGTAATTATCTATACATCGATTTTTGTTAATTGTGGCCCATTATGAGTAAAGGGCCGCAGTAACTATCAGCAGTGATAAAGTTTTTCCAAAAGTGACGGTGTATGATAAAAGTATGATCAAGCCTGAACACCAATCACTCTTTGAATAAAATACCACTTTAAATTCATCTCAGTAGCCACTTTTAACTTCCATTAGATCCAACAGCTGAACAAAAGACTTTTGTTTTTTGTGATTTGACATGACCAGATTTCTTCATACCCTCCACGACCCTTTTGTCACCATCAAACTGAATACATCATCCGCAGTTCGCTTTCCAGGAACAAAGTTGTTCAGAACAAAGTTGCACTTAGAAATCAGTTCTCGCAATCAATTATAAGACAGAACGGGTGAAAGTACTTTGGGAGGGGGTCTCAATAGAATTAAACCATAATGAAAGCACCGCACACACCTTAGCCTTCCAGTTTGGGCCTTTGTCAGGGTGTGAAGAAAAGGGTAAGTGATTTGATAATGGTGTATGACCCACACTCAGAGGAGGTTGTGCGACTGTCAGCACAGCACTCAAAGCTGCAACAAATCAAAAATGAATGCGCTGCAGAGTTGCCTGCTGAGCAACTACTAAATAGCTGCTTTTACTGATTTTACTCCCATCATCCTTTTGTCTGCCGTGGCAGAAAGATTGACAGATCGGCCACTTGTCCAGCTGCTACATTCATACTTTTTGGAGGTTAGTATGACATTTTCTTCAACACAAGTTGAACGCTGTTGTATTTTTTTTTGAAGAAAGATGATTTCAAAGAGTCAAACAATTCCCTCATACACACAAACATGGACACACAAAAGTACTTTGTCCCTGAGAAAAATGGAAATGGAAAATCGATGGTTATTACAACAGAAGTCAAATAGTCTGTCTGAAAGAGTCTTGTGGCAGATGTATGACGGGCCATTAGAGCAGCACTCAGAGTGACGTTTGGACGTACAACTACAATCATGAGCCTAAAATTAAAGACCTGTGTCTCTTCACTTGTACCCAAATGGATTAACTTTTGGCCCGCGACTGGTGAATATTTCTTCAACAAAGATGTCACAGTGCAGTTTTTATGGATTATCACAGCTGCTATTAAGATAAGATGACAAACTAGAAGACACTTAAACTGTCAAAAATGATTCAACTCCTCAAAGGCTGTTTTCATAGGACATAAGAGTTTGTCCAACAACCACAACAAGCTGAAAACAACCACACAACCATGCATGCCGGACCAGTGGGTGTCGATACTGTGGGATCACTCTGGCAAGTTTGGAATTATTGTGTGATAGTGTTGATATCACGGTTTGAGTAATTTCATATCACGGTAACTGTTTATATCACAGTATGTTTTTTCCCCTGTAAATTCAATTAATGGCTTTAAATAACCATACTGCCGCATTTGTTCATTTTCCTTTTATTTTTTTTAACTCTGATTTGTAAACAAATGGTGCAGCAGGTGTGCAACGCATCTTTTAGCTCTTATAATAGAGCTTGGTGTGTTTTTATCTTTAGGTGGTGGAAGAGGTTTCTGGTGTTTCCACCTCCAGCAACAACAGCCACACGACACTCTTTGTATTGTATTGTCTTTTGATCATTGTCGGATTTTCTAAATCTGAAGAATCTCCAGACAACTGATGTTGCGACTCGCGCCTTTTTTCAGAACAATCTCCTCCTCCTCTTCCTCATGTTGGGTGGGTCAGGCTGCCTCCATTTGCTCGGTACTGCCACCAATCTCCTCATCCGCCATGACCACCACTAGTGAAGCTGTTTCTTCTTCGTCGAAACTATGCCAAGCAGTCCGCTGGACACGCTGGTGATTTCAGGGAGCGCACCCAATCCTGACGAAATCAACTGGAGCGAACAAACTTTGCACCCAAACCGGTTTTCCTGTTAGCGAGCGCAGACCACTACACACTGACTCAGAGAGATGCAGCTTTCTTTCTCTGGTATAAACGGTATAGCAAAATTTCTTTAGACACTTAGATACTGTCATACCACCCAATACTATTGTGTGATGTACTTTTTTGCCCCTATACTGTGGTATAATCAGATGGTAAAACAAGTTTTCAAATACAGACATCAGAAATGGAGGTTTGACACTGAGTTCTCCTGTGTACAAACAAAGTCAGACAGACAGACAACATAAACAACCACACTTTGAAAAATTATTCATTTCCGCTTACTGATCTTTGAAGCTACACACGGAGAGCTCCCCATACACTTGTTTTCTGGCTGGAAGACTCACAAATAACAAGTGAAGTAAAGCTATCGCTGTCGTAGGGAACGGTGAAGCATATCAAAGCTTTAATAGAAATATTGACTCTGTGTTTATGAGCTGTGAATTTGATACTTTAGCAGTGAAACCACACAGTGAAGTGATGAAAACAGAGGGATAGCACTGTTTTATGGAGGAGCAGAAAGGATGTTTAATGTTGAAGTGCAACTTGCAGATTGGAGGCTCCAGGGGATAAATGTGTTGAAACTTTTCATCGAATAAAATATTCTGTATAAATTATTTCACTTGAGTAACTCCTGGAGTAATTTGTTTAAGTTTTAGTTCTGTGTCAAAAGCAGACAAGTCCTGCTGGTTAAGCTAATGTTCAGTATGAATAAATATGGATCTAAATGCAAGTCCTTGCAGTAAAGTAGCAGAGTATCTCCTGTCTTTATACCTCCAGTTTGCATCTAAATGAATTAATACATGATCTTCATTGCACGTGCTTTAATTGGCATGATCAGGAGATGAGATTCTCGAGCAGTTCGCTGTTGCCCATAAAAACTAATTGTGGAGGTGATATGGATGTTTTATTAGTATTCGGATGTGTGTGCTTATAACGCAGAATATTTTTTGCTCTGTGATGTAGGTTTTTAAAATTTGGTTACACAGTGCAGAAATACGGAGTAACCTTTTTCCCTTTAGTCTGTAATAATCCTTCAGCTCATGCTCATGATCGCAGCTCCCTACCTGTGCGCTTTTGCATCACTGCGTCTCTTTGTTTAACAATTTCTTTTCTCATGAAAGTGAAGTTAGACGGAGAGAGTGGGAGGTGTTTGTGTTGGAAAAGTCAGCCTGTATTTCAGTCACCCACCACTACATGTAAAGCAAAAGCAGAGATGGAGAGTCTGAGTAACCAATGTGAAGTAATATGACATGATGTTGAAAAAAAAAAGCAGCTCATAGCAACTTCACTAAAACAGACACTTTTTCTTCTAAATCTGCACCCCAGTTTCTTGTAAAACATCAAACAATTTTTTTACTTTCTCTGAACCAATTTTTCAGACAAAGTTACATTTCAGCACACAACCACTTTCAAAACCAAGTTTGTCTTCCACTAACTAGCCATTACCAGCCCTTTGGAGGGAAAAATATCAACACATGATAAAGTCCTCGTTACAATTGAGACATTAACCGTCCTTTGCACCCCTCGTTTAAACGCAAACAGAGAATTCGCCCCTGAAAACAACGCTTTAGAAAAACTGATGGGCGACGTTGTTTACAATCTGTGGTGATCATGGATGCATGCAGAATAGCTGTTGCATTTATGCTGGTGCAATCTCTTTATATTTGTTTACATTTGCATCCTTTCCAAAAGAAGGAAGTGACGTGGTTGTTGTTGCTGCTATGCAGGAATCTGATTGGCTAACGTGGGCTTGAGCTTCTCGCTACACTGACACTTACAGGTTTGGAATGTTCTTGACGGCATATATACACGGGTTAGTGGAAATGAAAACTTTTCTAAAAACGTAGTGGTGTCCGTAGTTTTTTTTTTTTTTTTTTGTAAATGGAGAGGGTAAAATGTCCTTTTATGAAAATAGCAGGGCACGTGTAAACGTAGCCTGAAAGAGCTGAAGTGTAGCATCTTGCAGAGACCAGCCTCCAGCCTCCGACTGCTTTCTACAGCTGATACCTGTAGAAAGCAGTTGCATATTGGAAGCTGCGGTAGTGTTTGGATCAGAGATGTTTAATTGATAAAACAAGTCATGATTTCTTAATGTTGTTATCCATACTGGAACGTGTGAGCCAATATTAGTAGTTATTTCATGTGATATTTTCCTTGGTATTGATTTCACTCATATCACAGCATCTGCTGTGCTTCTACATTTCCCTCGAGCTTCACGGTGTACATTTGGCTCCCCTGCTCTCTACTTCATGCGCTCCATTTTTGTGTGTTTGTGTGTATGTGTGTCATGGGTAGGACATCAGTTCTTGGTTAACAGCCCTCTAATTGCTGCTGATTAATCGCACCTGCCATCCATCAAGCTCATCAATCTGCTGCATTTCTAATTACTCGTCTCCACATTGTTGTTTGCAAATATTAGGGTCTCTCTCCCTCCCTCTCTCTCTCTCTCTCTTTTTCTCTCTCTCTCTCTCTCTCTCTTCCTCCGGGGCCGTCTTTTAGCTTGTAGGCTTAAAGACCTGCTTGTTCCTCTCTCCATT